ATTAGTATCTGCTAATTTCCTACAGTAAATTGGGTTTAAAAATTTGTTTACCAGCATCCACCAAATTTAACTAATGTTAAATATCTATATCTGCATCTATATGTATTATGAACTGAAGCTCCTAAGAATCTACCTGGGGGAAATAATGAGAAACAGGAAGCCATTTCAGAGCAGTAATTTGAGGGCCAATGTAATCACACTTGCATTTTAAAAATATACGATATTATCTGCCACATATGGAGCTCTGAATAATCTTCAAACTATTTAATTCAATGAATTCTCATAACTAGTTTATGTAGTGGATATTATCATCATTATTATTATTACTATTTTTGTATTGATAAAATCAGGAAATCAAGGCATAAAGAGGCTTGGTATAATTTTCTAAGGTTACAGAACTGGTTATAAGTGGAAGAGCTTGAGTATGAATGGGTTCAATCTAATTTAGTGCCTGCTAAAGTAAAGAATGATTGGACTGCATAAGAACATCAAATTGGAGTCAAGTAGATTGGACACTTTTGCGGGGAGGGGTTGTTGCTACAATTTAAGTAAGGGATGATGTCCACTTGGACTTCATACAATTTTATAGAGGATTAAATATTTAAAGCATATAGTGTAGTTTTATTGTTGGGTATACAGTCAACAAATGGTGATTTTCCATGTACATATGGGAATTTCATACATGAAAGTTATGTGTTCTAGATTAGTGGGGAAGGCAGGGTATGTAAGTTTGCCAGGGCTGTAATAATAAAGTGTCCCAGAAGGGTGGATTCAACAACAGAAATTTATAGTCTTACAGTCCAGATTCTAGAAGTCTGAAATTAAGGGGTTGGCAGTTTAGTTCCTTCTGTGGACTATGAGAGAAGGATGTGTTCCAGACCTCTCTTGGTTTCTAGATGGCCACATTCTTGTTCACTTTTTGTTTTCCCTTTTTGCATAATCTGCCTCCAAATATCTTCTTTTTGTAAGGATACCAATTTTGTATTAGGACCCACATAACAACCTCATTTTAACTTGATTACCTCTAAGGATTCTGTCTTTGCTACCGAGGTACTGGGTATTAGCAGTTTGACATATACATGTTTGAGGACAAAATTAAAACCATAATAGAGGGATTATTTTATAATAGCACCACAAAAATTAGTTATCCATATGGAGGAAAAAACCTCACAGCATATTAAAAAACATTTTTGAAGGTTTAAAGATTAAATGTAAATGGAAAAAATGATAAAATATTTAGAAAATATGTAGTAGAACATCTTTATACTTTAGGGTATGGAAGCATTTTCAAAATGCAGCACTAAAAAGGCTAAAATACAAGAGATGTTATTTAAAATATCTAAATTGGTTGCATTAAAATTAAGACTTGTTAAAAAAAAAGCAAAAAGAAAACAAAAAGGCAAACTGATTTAGACAAAGACATTTGCAAAACATGTAACTTTTAGAAGGTTAGTATATAGAACAAAGAATAATCAGTAATAATAAAACCCAATAAAAAATTAGACGAAAGAGATGAACAGATATCTCATAGGAGAAGAAACATGAATACAAAGGGAAATGTAGTTTAAGTCCACAATGGGATGTTATTTTGCAACCATCTGGTTAAAATTAAAAACTAGACAAAAGCAAAGCTTTTCATGAATGTGAATGAAGGCGAACTCAAATAGACATTCTCATGCCTCATGACTCAGTAATTTCACGTTAGGTACATATCCAAGAGAAAGTCTTATTCAAGGTGATGTGTGCAAGAATATTCATAGTAGGATATTTCATAAAATTGGAGAAAATAAACCCAATGGCTAGGAAAGATAATATTTCAAAAATTTGAATATCCAAATGTTGAGGTGTTACATAACTTTATATAAGGATAATTTGTTACTGCATATATCAATATGCATAACTTTAAAAAAATCTTGCCTGAAAAAGCAAGTTGCAGAAGGTTATGTTACAAAACAAGGAAAATTAAATAATACATTTGCTCATCTCTTTATGTGATTAAACTACATAAAACCATAAGAGAATGATGACAAAAATTTGGGACAGTGGTTAGCTAGGGGAGGGACACAGAGAAATGGAAAAGAGGGAGAATCATACGGATAGATATAACATTATCAATATTCTATCACAGTCTTTGTTATGGGTTAAACTGTCTTCTTCAAAAAAGATATGTTGAAGTTCTAACCCCCTGTATCTCAGAATGTTGCCTTCTGTGTAAATGGGATCATTGCAGATGTAATTAGTTAAAATCAGGCAATATTGGTGTAGGATGGGCTCCTAATCCAAACGGACTGAGATCTTTACAAAGATCATGGACATATGAAAATGGTTCTACAGAGAGAATAGCACGTGAAAATGAAGGTTGAAATTGGGGTGATGCATCTAGAAACAAGGAAGACCCAGGTTGCCAGTTAATCACCAGAAATAAGCAAATGGCCTAAAGCAGATTCTCCCCCATGGCTTTCAGAAGAAACCAACCTTGCTGACATCTTGTTTTTGGACTTCTAGCTTCCAAATTTGTAAGACGATAAGTTTCTTTTGTTTCAGCTACTCAGCTTGTGGTACTTTTTTTTTACAGCAGATCTAGGAAACAATATAGCTCTTACTTAATTGAGATTTAGGTTCATAGGTTCATTTTATTTTTTATAATTAACTAATTGCAAATGTGTTACACATACAAATTTTTATGTACCAAATAGTTACAAACAAAAATAAAAAGACAAAAGTTGTTATTTTCATTACTACTAAACTGGGCATGTTTCCACTACTAATCTTGATGGCAAATTCCAATAAAGCTTTTCTAGACAGTTTTATTAAAACTACAAAAACCAATTTCCAGCACTCCCCTTGATTTTTATGGAGTTTTATTTCAACTTCAATGTCACAGAATCTCTATTCTCTCACTTATAGCATGCACAACTTCTGAGCAAAGTGTCCTACATTTAACCATGAACCACGATTACCAAGCACACACCTGTCATAAATTATCGCCTTGTACAAAGGCTGGCATCAGCTTTGCCTCCATTTAGTGCAAAGGTAATCCTGGATACCTAAAATTACATCAAGTTTTAAGCATGCACGCCACAAAAGTAAATATGTTCTCTTAGCCTAGAAGCCAGAGCAGGGGCTGTGGTCTCTGTTCACACAGAAATATCTCTGCTACCTAGGAAATAGTTCAGGCACAAAATTAAGTTCTCAGTGAACTTGTTGAATGGATACAGAAATGATTAGTTTTATTAGAGAGCCACTTCTCAGAAATAGTAATAAAACTATACTGCTTTTCAGGAGCCTCTCCTCCCATAGATTTTTAGTTTGTTATTTGTCCTCATGTGATGATGATTCACCAGATCTCAAGGTCCCATCTTTGGCGACAATGACTAGAGGCTCAGGTTTGGGTTGCTTAAGCCCAGACAGACACACACACACACACACACACACACACACCTCTCTCTCTGTATTTCTTTGAAGGTAGTTAATTGTTTATTCTTCCTTACAGATTAGGAACTTGCTCTACTAACAGTAATGCCTTCTGTCTTAAGGAGAAGACATGTAGGTGCTTAGGATCTTTTGTTAATACTCAGATGAAATATGTCTTTATTAGAGAGTGGATTCTAAAATAGGAATTCCAATAACATATGCAAAGTAGATTTTAAAATATAATGTGATTTATGCAGTACTTTGAAAAAGAAAGTAATATTCTTTTAAATATATAATTCATGTTATGATTTTTTTTTGTAATAAGGATTGAACTCAGGGGCACTCAACCACTGAGCCTATTTTCCCTTCCTTATTTTCTATTTTATTTAGAGTCAAGGTCTCCCTGAGTTGCTTATTGCCTTGCTATGCTGAGGTTGGCTTTGAACTCATGATCTTCCTGCCTCAGCCTCCTGAGCCACTGCAATTATAGGTGTGCACCACTGCACCTGGCTTAATGTTAATTTGTCATTGAGTTAATAAGATTGTTTTTTTTTTTTTTTTTTAATGCAGTACCTAGAGCAGCTGTTGTTGGGTGCTCCAGTGAAAGCTTGAGTTTCAAGATGCAGGACTACAATCCCAGAAATGATTACTGGTAGGATTTATTAATTTAAACAACATTTGTTGAGTGATCACACCTTATCCTAGGTGAGGATAGAGAGATGAATGAGACCCCTGTAGGAATTCATTTCAGTGGGAGAGACATAAGCAAAACCATACTTGCAATGAAATGTGATGAAATGTTATTAAAGGAAAGAGCTATGTTCTGTGTCGCTCACATTTTCAGTGTGGCACATTACCCAGTTGTTCTTTGGGTGCTGGCCATCTGGGTATAATATTTCTCTACTAACCAGAATATTTAATTAACCAAAACATTCACTTCTTTGGCCATGTCTAAGTAACAGTTTATTTTACAAGTTATGATTATATCAATTTTAAAAATCTCAATATCTACCACAGGGGAAAACTGTAGCCATTTTTTCCTACAGTTAATGGCTAACTTATTTGACCTCACTTTTGCATTTTATGATCCTTTCCAATTTCCAGGAATTCAGAGGCTCCTTCTGATTCCAGAATAGAGAGCAATGGCATTTATTCCCATGTGGCACCGGTTTTTCACTTAGGTGGTGGCGACATTTTACTAAAGTAAAAAGAACAAAAGTCTCATAGATTCACCTAAGCTTTAAGCTGGAAAAAAAAATGAGACAGTTAATAGATATATAGACAATGTGATATAATCAAAAGAAATAATCATTGTTAATGAAATATGAATATTTATTATAAACTGACCTCCACAAAATTTGTTAGATGTACATCTTTTTTGGGGGGTATACCTATCACTAGGAATTCTCTCACCAGTGGGTTTTAATAATCACTGAAGGTCACTCACCCATTTCCCTTCTCATTCCTTAGACAGCAGGAAAAACGTCCAGTACTCTGACTGGGGTACACTCTAGGGCTGTGCCTTCATTTACAACACGTGACTGGAATACCTGTTTTTCACTGCCCCGGGGAGATCTAATGCAATATTCTCCCGCAAACACGCAGTCTCTTTCTAACCACTCTCTTTAACCTTTTCGGGCTGGATTTGAAAGGAGTTCGTCTGCAAGCTGCATCTGACAGCCCGACAGACAGACTCTATCTAGACTTCCCTCAGCTCTCAGATTCTTCTCTTGAATCCTCAGAAATGGCCCCTTTATTTTGAAAATGAGTTTAAAATAAAACTTTCGGTAGCTAGTCCAGCGGCTGAGAGGGCAGCTCTGCTGCAGATGGGGTGGCCTTAGCATCTGAGCGCGCTGCCCTAGTCTCTCCCTGACCCTCTTCGGTGGAAAAGGGGGCGGAGAAGAGAGAGAAGAAGGGGCGGAGGTCACCCACGCCTTCCATCCTGCCCTGGCTTCCAGCATCGCTAGGTGCTCGGGATCAGAGGGGCTGAGCGCAGCCAGCAAATCTCCGGCGAGAGGATCCACCGCGCAGAGGGTACGAGCGGCGGGACTCAAGTGGGTGCTGGAGCAGGAGCGCCGCGCTGTGCTCTTGGAACCTGCGGCGGCGGTGGCTGTGAGAGGCTGAACTCACCATGGTGCACCGAGCTAAGCGCTCTGGGGCTCCCGCGATAGCCCTGCTGGCCGCCCAGAATACCGAGGTAACCATCTCTCCCACGCATCTGCCTCTGGATGTTCAATACGCCTGGGTTTAACCCACCCTCTCCCTGAGATGCAGGAGATAGATGCAGGCGGCTGCGCTGGAAGGCGCCTTAGGCTGCTCTTGGCAACAAGTTTGGACCAGATTCCCCAAACTGCGGAGACTAAGAAAGAAGGGTATTCGGACTGACCGGTCCGATTGTGAGCTGGGCGGATGGGGACTAGGTAGAAGGGGTCTCAGAGGCGGGAAATAGGGAACGGGGAAGATCCCCTTCTCTCCCTGTGGTTCCTTGCGGGCGACAGTTCTTATCCTTACCCGGGCTGGCTCAGAAGTTTGGTAAGCTTTTGGCGCCCCCCAGGGTAGAAGGGAAAACAATCTTCTGGCGTTTGAGCAACTGCAGAAAGTTTCAGCAACTTGGTAGGTTTAGAGAAGATGTTGCAAGCAAAAGCCTAGGGGCTGCGGGGTTAGTGACCGGCGAAAGTAGAGCTGTGAGTAAGATCTAGAGGAGGCAGCCGCCCTCTGGGTAGCCCAGCCGTCTCCACTGGGGCTGTTTCGGTCCCAGGAAAGGCTGGCCTCCTAATTCCCAGCCTCCCGGAAAGCAACTTGGGAAACACCGATGGAATCAACTCCAGGCAGGGTGGTTGTGGTAGTGTGTATCTAGTGTTTGTGACTCAGGACTCAACCCCTTGGGGAAAGAGCAACAAAGAAATAATTCGCATTGGATGTTGCTCCTCTGAAGCTGTAACTTAACAGCAGTTAGGCAGCTATGCCCAGAGCAAACACGGACCTTCCCTTTCATCATCAGGAACCAGGATTTCTGCACAGGTGGTAACTAGATCAGAAAAACCTTCCCAGAGATTCACCGCTCAGACTTCCAAGAGTCAATGCGTGTGTAGTTTGGTGTTATGTGCTTTAGGTTTTAGAAACATTGAGAAGCGCTCCATTTAACATGAGCTTGTTGGTCTCCCTCCCAAACTTTAGAGAAGATTGATATGTCTGCCTGACAAACAAGGTGGTTCACCTAGTTGATAACCTGCAGTTTGGGGACAAAGTCGTTCAGAGAAAGGAGCAGGAATTTAAAAATGATTTATTTATATAGATTGTTATGCTTTAAAAAAATTATTGGCTTTAAATCTACTCTTGTTAGTATTTTGCACACCTTTAAAATTTTAAGGTATTATTGAAGCACCAGGAGGATATTTAACCAAGAGCTCTCAATTTTGGCGTTTTTTTTTTTTTTATCTTGAAAAGAAAAAAGAAACAGATGGATGCTACTTTCAGTATGATGCAATCTTGCTTATGATAGGCCAGACAAATCCAATCCCACCACAGGGTGCTGGGATACTTTGGTTTTAAGGGTCACATGATCAGCAATTTGGTATTTATAATCTCTCTCTCTTATGCTACAGATGTCTGGACTGCAAACCTGCACAGTTTTGAGAGAGAGATGACTTGAGGAGCCAGCTGTTATCTCCACAACAATGTCCATGAACAATTCAAAACAACCAGTGTCTCCTGCAGCTGGGCTCCTTTCAAATACAACCTGCCAGACAGAAAACCGGCTTTCAGTGTTTTTTTCAATAATCTTCATGACAGTGGGAATCTTGTCAAACAGCCTTGCCATTGCCATTCTCATGAAGGCATATCAGAGGTTTAGACAGAAGTCCAAGGCATCATTTCTGCTTTTGGCTAGTGGCCTGGTAATCACAGACTTCTTTGGTCATCTCATCAATGGAACTATAGCAGTATTTGTATATGCATCTGATAAAGACTGGATCCGCTTTGATCAATCAAATGTTCTTTGCAGTGTTTTTGGTATCTCCATGGTATTCTCTGGTTTGTGCCCACTTTTTCTAGGCAGTGTGATGGCGATTGAGAGGTGTATCGGAGTCACCAAACCAATATTTCATTCTACAAAAATTACATCCAAACATGTGAAAATGATGTTGAGTGGCGTGTGCTTGTTCGCTGTTTTTATAGCTTTGCTGCCTATTCTTGGGCATCGAGACTATAAAATTCAAGCATCAAGGACTTGGTGTTTCTACAATACTGAACACATCGAAGACTGGGAAGATAGATTTTATCTTCTACTTTTTTCTTTTCTGGGGCTCTTGGCCCTTGGTGTTTCCTTCTTGTGCAATGCCATTACAGGAATTACACTTTTAAGAGTTAAATTTAAAAGTCAACAGCACAGACAAGGCAGGTCTCATCATTTTGAAATGGTCATCCAGCTCCTGGCTATAATGTGTGTCTCCTGTATTTGCTGGAGTCCATTTCTGGTAAGACCCTCAAGTTTTGAAAGTTTGTGTTTTCCTTGTTTGATATAAAGTTTGTTGTCTTTATTAAAGTTGCTAGTCTGGAACTTCAACCTTTTAAATGCCAGCATTTCCTTGTACTCAAAACTGATTTCATCACTCAAGCTCTGGCTTAGAATTAAGCTATCATTTACATACTTGGTTCTATTTTCATAGGCTTTGATTTCAAAGAAATGTGTTACTAAACAATTCTAACCATGGTGTTACCTGTTTAAATGTAGTACAGTAGAAGTAAAGTAGTTTTACAGAAGTAATGAATTTTTTAATACTTATTTTTTAGTTTTAGGTGGACACAATATCTTTATTTTACATTTATGTGGTGCTGAGAATCAAACTCAGTGCCTCATGCATGCTAGGTGAGCACTCTACCACTGAACCACAACCCCATCCCCCATAAGTAATGTATTTTTAATATACTAAAATATGATTACTTTCTAAAAAATGACCAACTATAATACAACATTGGATCAGAATCCAGTAAGTTTTGACAGAAAGTAATCCAGGCTTTTAATTTGCACACAAAGCCTAGCAGCTACTGAATTCTTTTACACATGTAATGACTAGGTCTCAATTTGTAAAATATGGTGATTTCAGATGGTTAATTATTCGGGTGAACCCTGTGGATGATTGAAGTGTAGAAATCATTAGTGCATTAATCCTGGAAACAATGGTGATAGCCTGGGAAAAGTATGATTGACAGGAGAACCAGAGACTCTTCCCTTTTTTAAAATTTTCTTTCTTTCTTTAAAATAGCCAGCAGATATAAATTTATATCTGTGTGTGTGTATATATATATATATATATATATATATATGAACGATAGCTTGGTATTTTAATTTGGAAATGAAGGCTAATGTTAGGGATTAGAAACAAACACAAATCATTCATGTGACATTCTAGATAGAAGAAAAAGAAAACCAAAACAACATTTATGAAAAATAATATAAATTTAACTCCTTCCAACATTTGACTTTATGATGGAAAGAGTGACAGCATGCCATGAAAGGAAAAAAAAAATCCTTCTGTAGGGAGCAAGTGACAGCAAAGATTGTTTTCATTACTTTCTCTGGCATCCAGAGTTAATAATACAGGTTAGAAAAAGGTGTAAGTGAGGCAAAAGGAGAGGTGAGACTGAAGTTAGGGATTAGCAATTTATGCTTATGGTACAGTTGTTTGATTGATCTATGTTTATAGCATAGTTGTTTGAACTGAATAACAAAGATCAGTTTTAACAACATTTGGAACCACGTCAATGGTCCTTTTTGGGGATCTTAATTTATGCTGCTTGACTAACAGAATTTCATGAGGGGAATGATTCTTCTTCATTTTCTAAATTAAATCTTGAAATAAAGTATCTTTTAAAAATAATAAGGGAGTCTGAGTGAATTAAAATTGATTTTTGGGTTGTGAAGAGAATATGAAGACAGAAAGGAAGTGTTTAAAAATATTACAGAAACTTTCAAAACAGTCATAACTTTGGAGGAAACCTTAAAGCAATGAGGTGGTGCAGTAAATGAGACAGTCTGGATAATGGGAGTTACCATTTGTTTTGTATTATTTGTTCTGAGCATCTTAAAAATTCTGTTTAGTTCTGGCTTTTGACTTTGAGAAATAGGAGTGATCGACTTAAGAAAGTAAAATTTTATTCTCTTGCCTTGAATATGTTGAATTTATTCTTTTCTCTAATTTCCTTTCCTGATATTTTGGTTTCCTTCATTGTTGGAATAGACATTATGATTTAATTTATATTTTGGGTGTATTTTCTAATGGAAACAATTTCATTTTCATGAAACATTTTCTGAGCTCTGCTGTCTGTTTGACTGAGTTATTGATACATCTATGACACCATTGTCAATACTTATAAAATGCTTTTAAGTGTGAAATTATTTCTGTGGTAGATGTGTAATAGGTATACCACAGGTACTCCTTAATGAATTGGTATTTTGAATTGTCTCAAGGATCCTTTGCATTCTTTGCTCCTTTCATGAAGACAGGTCTTCATGGTAATTTCTGAATAAGAAATTTGTAAGTTTGGTGATCTGAACACAAGTGCCTTAAGGATTCAGTAAAGGTCATCAGGCAGGTGTAAATGTGACTCTTGGGAGAGACTCAGGCTTGAAAACGCCAGATTACCCAAACACTGATACCTCAGTTGAAGCATTTTTCTTTTTCCTCAAATGTCTAGGGGGATTTGCACAGGTGTTAATGATGGAGCCACCCATCATGCCCAGTTTGTGTTTTAAATGCTTCTTACTTTTTAAAGCACGTGTAAAAACCAAGCTTTTAGATTTCCATACATTACTCTAAAAGGTGACAACTTTCCAGCCAATGAGCTACTTTGCAGCATGTGTCTTTTCTCTATGTTTGATCAGTTTGGGTGATTGGATTTGTGACTTGAATGAACATCTCTGAATGCATTATTTTACCTGTGTTCACTGTCATATTCAAGCCTCACTCTGAAATAAAGTTACATATACTAAAAGGAGGAAGTGAGAAAGGTGCAGATATTTGTGTCTGTGCTTGACAGGATATAGTGTATCAAAAGTTAATAAACGGTGGCATAATTTCTAAAATTGCTTAGACTTATATTGAATATTAGTTTTACAGATTGAATTTTATATAACCAATACAAGGATAAAATGATTGTGATGTTTATTTGAATTCTTTTTATAATAGGCTTTAATATTTTTGAGTAGTTTTGGTTTGTAGAAAAATGAGTGGGTGCACTGTTAACCTATAACCCCCCTCTCTGCATGCAGTGACCCTTATTGTTAACATTGTGCATTGGTGGGGCACACTTAATACAAACTGATAAGCTAATGCTGATACATTATTATTACCTAAAGTCTGTTGTTTATCTTAAAGTTCTCTGTGTTGTACATTCTGTGGGTTTTGACAAATGTCTAATGACATCTGTCCACCATTGTAGTACCATACAGAATAGTTCCACTGTCCTATAAACTCTCTACAAACATTTCAGAAAAATTTCATGAAGATGAAATTATTTCCACTTGAAAATATACTCAAAATATGAATTAAAACCCTAAACTCAGGAAATTAGAAACAATGTACTGTTTTTTCCCCCCAATGGGGAAAATGTGATTTTCTTCCCCCTAAAGGAATTGAGGTTTAGAAATGTTGTATAAACATTGCATTTTCTTAAAACATAACTTATTATTGACTTTTAAAAATTTACAATGTCTGGGTTTCATAATTGTAAACATGCTTAACACATATAAATTCATTTAATTACAGTCCTAATTGAAAAATGCAAGAAACTACAATAGCCCTTTAACTTACAGTGCCAGGTAGAAACAAATTAACTTCAAACTTTTTGAGAGTCAAAAGCAATTTTAAAATTATCTTGTGTGGTTCACAGGCAAATTATTTTTTCTTGGTAAATGATCTTAAAGATGTTTTTTTAAAGTATTTCTTTTAGCTGTAGATGGACACAATACCTTTATTTTATTTATTTGTTTTTATGTGGTGCTGAGAATGGAACCCAATACCTCACGTGTGCTAGGCAAGTGCTCTACCACTGAGCCACAATGGCATTTTAAAGACATTCTTTTGATGTTTCTGTTTTATGGGGGAATATTTACCAGCATCTTCAAGGAACATTTTCTTAATATTCTTTGTTTCTGTCTTTATACATGTAATGGTTCTTTTAAATACTATGTTTCTAGAACACATAACACTAAAAGCGATTTATTATTATTGCTATGTGTATTTCAACAATTTAGCAGAGCATTAAATACTTGTTGACTGATTGACGTAACTTAAGTTGTATTAATGTCAAGAGATTGGAAATGATTGACCAGAATATGGATTCTGAGTTTTGTTGGTAGGAGTTAAGCAAATACTGAAACCAATGATAATTTTTAATGTTTCCTAAATCAGCAACTGTAGACCTGTGAACTGTTAAACTTCAGCTATCTTTTAGTAGAAGGCCAGTTGTTTGTTTTATCATCTCTTAAGGGATACAGGATCATTTTGAATAGGGGGAAAACTATAAAGTCTATAAAGAGCAAAATGATTTCTTTTGTAGTTTACTTTACCCAAATGTTCTCTTGCACATGTAGATTTTGACTTTGATTTTTGGAAGGTGGTTACTTTATGCTAATATTTTCTAGTCAGTGTAGTTAACCATCATTTGGTTGTGAGGGTGATTATCAAAAACAGATCAAAGAACTGAATTGTTAATTGAACTTTGACTGAAATTAACGTACTGGCATCATAATGACCTGTTCTTAGAGCCCTAATGGCAAATGATGGGAGCAATGTGACATTGTAGGACATTTGCCTGTTAAATGAAGATTGTTCTCTTTGAAAGATGACTCTTATCATTATATTTAAAAATAACATAATGGGAATCTGTGTGTGTGTTTGTGCACTTAACACCAAAAGGGTGGTGAATGGATGTCCATCCCTATGTTTTAAGTGAAAAGAAAAGATGCAAAATGTATAAATATGTATGTGTATAAACGTGTATATGTATATATATAACTAGTATACATATAACTAGTATGTACACATATTGTATGTACTTATGCATATACATAAAAGTGTACATTTTATATGTTTCTATGCACAATTGCTAAATTATTTTCCAAGTTAAAAAATTATTTAGCTAATCAATATTGGATCTGATTTATACCACTTAAGAGGGTTTCTAATGTATTGTACCCTAATTAAAACAAAGTGGACTCTTTTATAAATGGGATCGTGTTGGTTTATTCTCACTTTGGGGTGGGCATGGAGTAAGGGGCATGAAGACAATGATAGTAGCTAGCAGAGGAGTGGTTCTGGGAGATGTGGGAGTCCCCCCACCCGAGTCTTGGTGGTCTCTTGCTTGAAACCTTTTCTTCCCGGCATTCCTGTGGCTTCTGTCTTTCTCTTTTCTGGTAACTCAGATATTTCCTCCTCTACTTAGGCTATTTTAGAAAGGAATCTTTCTCTTCTCC